CTGTATGTGTTGTGTGTGCTGCTTGTTGTGTGGATTGTGTGTGTTGGGTGTGTTGGGTGTTGTGTGTGTGTTGTGTGTGTTGTGTGTGTTGTGTGTGTTGTGTGTGTTGTGTGTTGTGTGTTGTGTGTGGTGTGTGTGTGTTGTGTGTGTGTTGTGTGTGTGTTGTGCGTGCGCGTGCGCGTGCGCGTGCGCGTGCGTGTGCGTCTGCGTCTGCGTCTGCGTCTGCGTCTGCGTCTGCGTCTGCGTCTGCACCTGCGCCTGCGTCTGCGTCTGCGTCTGTGTCTGCGTCTGCGTCTGCGGCTGCGTCTGCGTGTGCGCGTGTGCATGTGCGTGTGCGTGTGTGCGAGTGCGCGCGTGCGCGTGTGCGCGTGTGCGCGTGTGCGCGTGTGCGCGTGTGCGCGTGTGCGAGTGTGCGCGTGCGCGTGCGCGCGTGTGCGTGTATGCGCGTGTGCGTGTGAGCGTGTGCGCGTGTGCGCGTGTGCGCGAGTGCGCGTGTGCGCGTGTGCGCGAGTGTGCTTGTGTGCGTGTGTGCGTGTGTGCGTGTGTGAGTGTGCGCGTGTGCGCGTGTGCGTCTGCGTGCGCGTGTGCGCGTGTGTGCGCGTGTGCGTGTGTATCGTGTGTGCGTGTGTGCGTGTGTGCGTGTGTACGTGTGCGGCGTGTGTGCGTGTGTGTGTGTGTGCGTGTGAGCGGCGTGCGCGCGTGTGTGTGTGGTGTGTGCGCGTGTGCGTATGTGCGCGTGTGCGTGTGTGCGTGTGCGTGTGCGTGTGCGTGTGCGTGTGTGCGTGTGCGTGTGTGCGTGTGCGTGTGTGTGCTTGCGTGTGCGTGCTTGCGTGTGCGTGCTTGCGTGTGCGGCGTGCTTGTGCGGCGTGCGTGTGCGGCGCGTGTGCCGCGCGTGTGCGGCGCGTGTGCGGCGCGTGTGCCGCGCGTGTGCGGCGCGTGTGCGGCGCGTGTGCGTGCGCGTGCGCGTGCGCGTGCGTGTGCGTCTGCGTCTGCGTCTGCGTCTGCGTCTGCGTCTGCGTCTGCACCTGCGCCTGCGCCTGCGTCTGTGTCTGTGTCTGCGTCTGCGTCTGCGTCTGCGTCTGCGTGTGCGCGTATGCATGTGCGTGTGCGTGTGTGCGAGTGCGCGTGTGCGCGTGTGCGCGTGTGCGCGTATGCGCGTGTGCGAGTGTGCGCGTGCGCGTGCGCGCGTGTGCGTGTATGCGCGTGTGCGTGTGTGCCGCGTGTGCGCGTATGCGCGTGTGCGCGCGTGCGCGTGTGCGCGAGTGTGCGTGTGTGCGTGTGTGCGTGTGTGCGTGTGTGCGTGCGTGCGTGTGTGAGTGTGCGCGTGTGCGCGTGTGCGTCTGCGTGCGCGTGTGCGCGTGTGTGCGTGTGTGCGTGTGTATCGTGTGTGCCTGTGTGCGTGTGTGCGGGTGTGCGTGTGCGGCGTGTGTGCGTGTGTGTGTGCTTGTGTGCGCGTGTGTGTGTGTGCGCGTGTGCGTATGTGCGCGTGTGCGTGTGTGCGTGTGCGTGTGCGTGCGCGTGTGTGCCGCGTGTGTGCCGCGCGTGTGCCGCGTGTGTGCCGCGTGTATGCCGCGTGTGTGCCGCGTGTGTGCCGCGTGTGTGCCGCGTGTGTGCCGCGTGTGTGCCGCGTGTGTGCCGCGTGTGTGCCGCGTGTGTGCCGCGTGTGTTGCGCGTGTGCGCGCGTGCGCGTGTGAGCGTGTGCGCGCGTACGCGTGTGTGCGTGTGCGCGTGTGCGCGTGCGCGCGTGTGCGAGTGTGCGCGTGCGGGCGTGTGCGCGCGTGCGCGTGTGCGCGTGCGGGTGTGTGCGCGTGTGTGCGTCGTGTGTGTGTGTGCGCGGTTGTGCGTCGTGTGTGCGTCGTGTGTGCGTGCGTGTGTGCGTCCTGTGTGCGTCGTGTGTGCGTCGGGTGTGCGTCGTGTGTGTGTGTGCGTCGTGTGTGCGTCGTGTGTGCGTCGTGTGTGTGTGTCGTGTGTGCGTCGTGTGTGTGTGTCGTGTGTGCGTGGTGTTTGCGTGGTGTGTGCGTGGTGTGTGCGTCGTGGGTGCGTCGTGTGTGCGTTGTGTGCGTGTGCGCGTGTGCGCGTCTGCGCGTGTGCGCGTCTGCGCGTGTGCGCGTGTGCGCGTGTGTGCGTGTGCGCGTGTGCGCGTGTGCGCGAGTGCGCGTGTGCGCGTGTGCGCGTGTGCGCGTGTGCGCGCGTGCGCGTGTGCGCATGTACGCGTGTACGCGTGTACGCGTGTACGCGTGTACGCGTGTGCGCGTGTGCGCGTGTGCGCGCGTGCGCGTGTGCGCGTGTGCGCGTGTGCGCGTGTGCGCGTGCGCGCCTGTGCGCCTGTGCGCTTGTGCGCGTGTGCGCGTGTGCGCGTGTGCGCGTGTGCGCGTGTGCGTCGTGTGCGCGTGCGTGCGCGCGGGAGTGCGGGCGTGCGGGCGTGCGGGCGTGCGGGCGTGCGGGCGTGCGGGAGCGCGGGCGTGTGGGCGCGTGGGCGTGTGGGTGGGTGGGTGTGGGTGTGTGGGTGTGTGGGTGTGTGTGGGTGTGTGTGTGGGTATGTGTGGGTGTGTGTGGGTGTGTGTGTGTGCGTGTGTGTGTGCGTGTGCGTGTGCGTGTGCGTTTGTGCGTGTGCGTGTGCGTGTGCGTGTGCGTGTGCGTGTGCGTGTGCGTGTGCGTGTGCGTGTGCGTGTGCGTGTGGGCGTGGGCGTGGGCGTGGGCGTGGGCGTGGGCGTGGGCGTGGGCGTGTGCGTGTGCGTGTGCGTGTGCGTGTGCGTGTGCGTGTGCGTGTGCGTGTGCGTGTGCGGTGTGTGCGTGTGTGCGTGTGTGTGTGTGTGTGGGTTCCACTATTCGCAGAGGAACTACTCGCAAAGGGCCTGGATCCCCCGCGGGGGATCTACGATAAGTTCCATCAGAGCAGGCAGGTGTTTTTTGGGGGCGTTTGCGAAGTGGGAAACTGCGAGTAGTGGAACGCGCTCGGCGAGTCAAGGTCGGCGGCAAGCAGCCAAGCAAGGTGTTTTACCCTCTTCGGTCTGCGCGGGCCAGCGCCAGCAGAAACGGATGCGGGGTAGAACAGTGCGCTCGGCCGGAACAGTGCCCCGGGAGGGGTCTAGGGGAGCGATGTTGGACGAAGTTGCCCTCCCCCCCCCTCTTGGTAGGTTCTCTCGGGGCCCGACTGTAGCTCAGACCCCGTGGCCGCCTCCGACGCCAGCCCACCACCCCCAAGATGAGGAGAGGCTCCGCAAAATCCGAAGGGAGCAGCATCTACACGCTGTTCATTTCTAAGTATTCGGAAGTTCGTTGATTTTTCTGGGGGGCCAGGATCCTCTCATTTCTAAGTGTTCCATCCTGTGCCTCCTCCTGGCCACTGGGGGGCCATGAGCAATTAGAAACGAGAACAATCAGAAATGAGCACGATTAGAAATGGACGACGTGTACCCCCATCTAGGGTGAGGTAGATCGGCCAGTGGGGCCAAGGCCATGCCAGTGGGGATATCGGCGGCGAGCGAGGGGGGGGGAGTGAGACGGAGAAGGCCGTCTCAAAAGGCGGCGGGATGCGCTCGGACCTTCCGAGGAGTTCTCTGCGTTTTCAGGGAATGCTTAGAAAATGTCTGAGAAGGTCAAGGGATTTCCGTGCCCTTTGAGAAGGCCCGCCCCTTCTCTTTTCCGCCCCAGGCTCGCCGCCGACAAGAGCATAACTACCCCGATACGCCCGTTTTGAAACGGAACACCTACTGTTCAAAATGTCCGCGTTAACACGCTGCGTGTTGACTCAACGTGTTGGACCACGTTTTGGCGAAAGTATCGCGCCAAACGTATGTCTTCAATCTCCGTGTTGAGTTCCGTGTCAGCACGCTACGGGTTGCGTGTTGCGCATCGGGGCGGCTAAGCTCAAGGGTGGTCCGGAGAAGAACACTTGCATAAACATGAACTCTCGGAGCTCGGCGCGGATTTCTTGGACTGGCGCTGGGCGCCCCTGGCGGCGCCTCTGGCGCCGCCCCTGACGCGCTACGCGCCCCAGGGATCGGGGGCCCAGCACCCGTCCAAGAAGTCCGCGCGGAGCTCCGACGGTTTGCGCGTGTGCAGTTCTTGCTGTTGCTCGAGCGGCCCCCCGTGGTTCCACCGGTGGGGCTTGATCCTACCGAGCTGGTGAGGGAAGCGATTCGCTCGATCTCCTCGTGCATGCCGCAAGTGGACCACCACGGCGCATGTCGTCGTGGCCACATGCCAGTCGTGGAGAGTTACCCACAAGAGGACGTGCGCTCGTTCCCCGTGGCTGGCCCGTCTGACTGTGAGTGTTTGCACTGATCTTGTGACCCGAGATCTTTTGAATACTCCTCCTCCTCCTCCTCCTCCTCCTCCTCCTCCTCCTCCTCCTCCTCCTCCTCCTTCTCGTCCGTAGCCATTCTGGTTCAAGGAGGTTTTGAACTCACCTGGGGGCAAAGTGGACACCGCTGGTCCGCGGCCAGACCACTTGCATTCGGCTTGTGCGCCCAGGGCAGGATCGGGGTGGGGGGGGGCACCCTCCGGGTGCGCCGACGCTATCTTCCTCCTCCTCCTCTTCCTCCTCCTCCTCCTCCTCCTCCTCCTCCTCCTGCTCCCTCCCCCTCCTCCTCCACCTCCACCTCCACCTCCTCCTCCTCCTCCTCCTCCTCCTCCTCCTCCTCCTCCTCGTCCTCCTGCTCCTGGTGGTAGCAGGAGGAGGAGGAGGCGTCCGTGGCGGATGACACCAAGCCCCAGTGGCAAGGCGAAGCCTGTCAAGTCGGCACGCCCAGCGGCGCCGAGAGGCTGCGGGGGACTGGTGTTTGCAAGTGGTGTGTGTGTCCGTCCTGCCACGGGGCAAAAGCGGTGGACGAGGGCTGGCAAGGGGACCACACCCTGATCTTTATCGATACTCGGATGTCTTGGGAAGATGCAGTTACGATTACCTTGGTTATGTGATGTGTGTCCAGGTTCAGATTCAAGTTCGGTTGCTCCTGAAGTACACCTAGCCCCCGAGGGCTGACAAGGTGGCGTGTGGG